ATTTCATGTAATTGTCACTGATTCTCTCTGTAATTCTCGTTTTAAAAAAAAAAGTTTTTAAGCTAATCAAATATGTATTTCTTTGTTTTGCTTAAAGAAACCCAGTTATAACGAGCAAGCGTCTGCTTTTACTCTGTCCATTGACCTGCCTGATGTTGAGAGGCCTGGTTCAAATGTTTGTACATGGTGAAACCAAGAAAAAAAAAAAATGCACAACTGTTGCTTCCTTACAATTCTGAATGAATTAACTTTTCTGTTGTATCCATTGGATACCCGCTGTGTATTAAACCTAGTGCTTAACAATATCTTCTTCCTTTGGTCTATGAATGTGGTCTATTTAGATACATTACTGATCATATATTTCATTAAAAATGAAAGGAGCTGCCATGTGTTGATGATGCAGTTCAGTGGCTTCTCCTTTCATCACTCCAAGGGATACAATACTGTTCATCAATAGAAAAGAGGTGTGGAGGAAGAGAGTATTGTTATGAAATTATGTGAGAGGAGAAAAAAAAAAACAGAACAATATTTGACTGTACAGCTTGCCTCTGAACTCTGTAACGGATCTGCGGCTTGCATTCCACAGCCCAAGCTTTGTAAGTGGGCAGAAGCTGAGTACTTAAGAAAAGACTAGCTTAAAACAGCCAATCTGCTTTAAGGCCAGCGTGACTTTCTTCTTAAGACCCTGGTCCAGCAAGGGTTCAACTGCCAGTTAATTCAGTGGTCATTGTAAACTCTCTAAAGGATCAGACTCTAGGTGGCTGAAGCACAAGGAGGAATCATGTGAAACTGAACTGCTCTAGGAAGCTGAAAGTGTACCTCATTGTAAGAGTACAGAGAGATACCTTAGGCTTCCAGCAGCATGGATTTCCTAGCTGGAATGCCCTAAGAATCTCGATTCTCCACTCAGAAACTTGCTAGTAGAGACTTTCTGGAACTAAGCCTAATTTCAACCAGTCATTTAGGTCAAAACACTTGAGACAGAGATAAGCTCTGATCTCTGTGACACAGGTTTCAAAGCTGTAAGAAAAGATAAAAACTGTAACATGCACCAAATTATTCTCATCACAAAGAGACTGAGAATACATTCCTTAGGACAGATTATTCTAGAATACCAAAATGTTTCTACTTTCAAGTGGGTAATATTGTTACTACTCAATTGCCTTCATTAAGCTTTAAAATTAACACCTCTCTGCAAAGAACGGAAAGACACTACCCACCTTTTTTTTTCTGTTTGTAGACAGAACCTGATGTCACTGTTCTGAGCTTCCTACTGTTCCAAAAGGCTTCCTTTGAAACTCAAGGAACAGGAAGATTTTCAGGATATTTAAAGCAGGCAGAGAGTAACAGGGCCATCGCACATACAAACTCTGTATGAGAGCTTTGACAAGCACTGATGCAGTCTATGAAGCGTCTGAGGGAGGATTTCTGTAGATTTTGCATTTACCTAGAATAAAAAAAAAAAAAAAAGAAAGCAAAAGGATTTGAATGATCATTGGAAATTTAGACTACAATTTTTATTAACATTTCAACACAGCTGTCTCAGGTAAACCATTTAAGTGACCTGTGCAGCCAGGTGCTTTCCTGGAATCAGCAGGTGACCACTAACTCACTTAAAAGAGACTGAAATAAACAAGAATACCCCATTTGTGGAGAAACAACACCAGGGAATCGGGTGCTAGAGGATAAATTTGCAAAGAATGTGATTTTTCTTTCCAAATTTTTACTATGAGAGACAGTAACAAAAGCAACAAGATACATCTATGTTAAAACTGAAAAGAGTTTAAAAAGAACTTATTTCAGAACTTTTACGGGCCTGTGGTGAGATTCGTCTTCTCTAAATAGACACTCAAAGCATAAATGTGTACATCTAAGCATGTCTTCTTGGCTTTTTTTATTGTTAGCAAGAGACAAAACCACATCGAGGGTGCGATTCAACTACTTTCAGCTGTCTGCTTTCAGATGAGGAGGCCCATTCTCCAGACGTGCCCGTTTCCCTCTGCTGCTCTCGGGGGAGTCTGGCTCCAACACCAATGCCTTCGCTGCCCACACCTGAAGCTCCACCAAATCCCACCGCAGCGGCCTCCTGTCGCAGTTACGTCAGACATTTTACAAGCTCTGTTTGCGTTAATAAGGCTGTCTGAATGCGCTCAGCCAGGCACAACCTCTGCATCTCTCCCTTGGGCGGGGGGGAATCAACAGATTGAAATAATCAAATTGGCGAGACCAGAGTCAACGCGCCGCGGTGCAGCGTCGCACCCAGACAGCGCCGTGAGCCCTCGCCTGCCAACAGCGAGACCCCCTCCGTTCCTCACACGGACGTTCGCCAGTATTTGCCTCTGGTGTTGAGGAGTTTTACCAGCGACGCCGCCCTCGAACCCCCCAGCGCTGCGCTCCCCACCATAACGCCACCCGGCTGAGGGGACCAGCCGCAGGAGAGGCCTTTCTCCTGGGAAACGGCCGCCGAGGAGCAGGCCCAG